AGCCCACCTGCTGTCTTTCATTGGTAGCCCTGTGCCATCCTGAAGTGTTGGGCATCTTTGCTTGCAGTGCTGCCTTGGTCACTCACAGGCTGTGACAGGGCTGTGCATATCTCAGTGTTGGCAGAGTGAATTTCTACAGTGAAGGCATCTTCAGAAGGGCCCTGATGGATTTGGTCACAAGTTGCTCACCATTACTGCATCTGCTCAGCAGTGCACACAGCATCCAGGGTCTGCAACTGTACAGGTTCTGGACCAGCACACACAGCTGTCCCTTTATCAGCCACCACAGCACACATCGAGTCCTTTATTCATCCCTCAAGTCCATGGAATCAGCCAGCAGCCAGGGTGACACTGGGAATGGCCTTACTCACTGGCTCCTAAGGAGGCAGCAGGGTGACGGGGGCCTTACAGCCAGCACACACACAGGGCAGGAAAGATGGCAGCTGGCATTGGCACGACACTTGGCATTGGCTGTGCCATGTGGGAGCTTAGTTACCAGCATCCCTCCCCACAGAGAAGCCCATTTTTGGCAGCCTGTGGCTAACACTACCCATGTCACCATGCTTGCTACGTTACCTCCTATCATTCACAGTCTGCCCAGCATGTCCTTTATCTCAGCACATACTCCCAGGAAAAATAGCCTTTTCCTTTTGCACAAAATAGGATAAACTAATCTCTTGGTTTGTTTCAACACGGACATCCTTCCACAAAGCCTTCCTCTCCTCTGAGAAGCAGCCTACTGAGATTCTTGGCAATACTCCTGACATGACTCCTGCAGAAAAAGACTCTGCAGAAAAGGAGAAATGTCATTACACAAGGGTCCATGCCATCATATTGGCTTTGCAAAAAAGAACTGGGAGGCCTGGCAGACACTGAGCTGACACTGTGAGACAGCAATGTGTCCTTGTGGCAAGTAAAGTCAACAGCACAATGCCTTAGAAAAAGCACTGCCAGAGGAGGCTTTCCTGCCCCTCTACTAAGCACTGGTGGGACCACAGATGGAATGTTCTGTCTGGCTCTGGGCTTTCCATTCCAAAAGAGATGGGGATGTCCTGGGGAGCAGGACCAGAGAAGATGATTAAGTGCTTAAAGTATCTGTCATGAGAGGAGAGGCTCAGAGACATGGGACTTGTTTCCCTGGAGAGGAGAAAGTGCAGGGGGTTTTATCCATGTGCATAACCTTCTTGATGGGAGGGTAAAAAGAAGATGCAGCTATACTTTCTCCTGTGAACAGACAAGAGAGAAAGGACACGACCTGAAATAGCAGAAATTACATTTAAACATAAGAAAATACATTTTCATTTGGATAGGGAGGTAAATCCAGGTTGCCCAAAGAGGCTGTGGAGTCTCCATCCTTGGAAATATTCAAAACCTAGAAGGACATGATCCCAAGTAACCTGCTGTAGCTGACCCTGCTGGAAAGGTGGAGCTTGGAATAAAGAATCAGCAGAGCTCACTTCCAGTCTCAGCTGTTCTCTGCTTCCATACTATATCTAGAGGAGGATCTCAAGGGAGATGGAGAGAGCAGGATAATTGCACATTAATTGCAAAGAAATTACAGCAGTGTGGATGAGGCACCTTGAATGGGAGTGTACAGCACATTTCACAGACAGTTATTGTTTCCATGCTGCATGGAGAGAAATGTTGCCTCACAGTGGCAGATCCTTGGATGTCTCTCTGTGCTTTCTGGGCGGGTGCAATTTGTACCACTAGATGCAGAAAGCTTCAGATTTTGTCTTGTTACTTGCTAAGCCTTGTTTCTGGTACTGCACAGCAGTCTGTATGAGAAAAAGTCTCAGTTCTTCAGAAAACACATTTGGAAGGCTGTGACAAAAATGTCAGTCACGACAAGGACGTTTTCAAAGTTTATTTATTTTTGCCTTTTTTCATTAAAAACTTTTGGAGCATTTTAATATTATTAAAAGCAAATATTAAGGCAAGTTACAGGTTTAGTACAGTATTTGCATTTTTTACTGCCTCCTGTCTTTTCTTTTTGGAAAGGAGAAGCTTTGTATTTGCCTCTGAGTCATGGCCCCTTTGCTTTTCTCCCATTCTTTCATTTTGACCATTATTTCTGTTCAGGAAACAACATTGGTCACTGAGGCATATCCTTGTACTTTGAGCACTTTCCAGTTTAATTATCATAGGAAGGAAAGTTTTCAAATGTAACCCTTTTGAAGTCTTCTTATTGTTTAAGTGTACAGACTTTTAAATTTAACAAACTGGATCAAGTGCTTCTGGCTACAAGAGATGCAGAAAGTTATTAAACTGCTTATGGCAAGCTTTGAGATGTTGAAATTTTGCATCTCTTGGAACAGTTTAGACCACTGCTTTAATTTTTAAAGAAAAATAATTAAAATGTACTTGGTGAAATAGCTGTCTTTACCACTGGAAAAAAAACTATATCACAAACATCCTGATGATATTCAAATAACATGGATGTCAGACAGGTAGCACCACCTTCTTTCCTCTACAGATCTGCTTTTTTCATGCCACACTGTATGTTAATGTGGAAATAGAATCATAGAATCATAGAATGTCCTGGGATGGAAGGATCAGGATCATGAAGTCCAACCTCTGGCCCTGCATACAACAGCCCCAAGAATCATAGCATGTACCCAAAATCATTGTCCAAACACTTCTTGAATTTTATCAGGCTGGTGCTATGACCACTTCCCTTGGGAGCCTGTTTCAGTGCCCAAACACCCTCTGAGTGAAAAGTCTTTTCCTAGTATCTAAGCTAAGCCTACCCTGACACAGATTCCTGATATTCTCTCAGGGCCTGTTACGAGTCACCAGAGAGGAGATGAGTTCCTGGTCCTCTGCTTCCCCACCTGAGGAAGCTGCAGACTGCAATGAGATCTCTCCCTCAATCTCTTCTTCTCCAGGCTGAACAAACCAAGATCTCAGCTGTTCCTTCTATTTCTTCCCCTCAAGGCTCTTTACCATCCTCATGGCCCTCCTTTGGATGCTCCCCAATAATTTATTGTCTTTTTTATACTGTGGTCCCCAAAACTGCCCCCAGTTCTGGAGGTGAGGCTGCCCCAGCTCAGAGCAGAGCAGGACAATCCCCTCCCTTGCCTGCCTGGCCATGCTGTGCCTGATGTCCCCCAGGACAGGGCTGGCCCTCCTGGCTGCCAGGGCACTGCTGGCTCATGTTCAGCTTGCCACTGACCAGGACCCCCAGGGATCCCACTGACCAGGATCCCACAGGTCCCTTTCCTTATTGGCCAGTCTATATGTATATTCAGGGTTTCCCTGTCCTTTATTATTGGAATAGATGATATTAACAACAGAGTACCTCCTCTCAAAACTCTCAGTGGGGAAATGCTTTGCCTCAGTTGTCCATCTACTTATTCTTTTCTTTTCTAGTTGTCCATCTACTTATTCTTTCCTATGCCCTTTGAGCTTTATGATTTTTTTTTATGATTTCATAAACTCAAATGGAAGAGTTGCTGGAACAGTTTTTCCTTGAAATATTTATCCAACTAATAGCGCATCTTTAATAGCCATGGGAATTATATCAAAGAATACATAAGAACAAGTTAATATTTCCCTGGGCTATTTCTTGGTAATCTGTATTACGGAGAGGAATCAAACTATGGATGTGTACATTCATTTATTTCATAAAAGGGAAGAAAACTTCATATCTACATAACTTTATTAATTCTAAAATCTGAAGGATTTTGTACTAAGTCCCATTTTGCTCACAACAATGTAATAATATTTTAAGGGTTAGCCACCCAGAAAATTAAGAAAATTCAGATAATTTCATGACCAGGATTTGTGACTTTCTTTTATTGTGTTAAGAAAGAAAAAATCAATTATGTGCATCACAATCAGTAATATATGATTAGAATGAAAACAGGTCATAATATTGTGCCAATGGAACCATACATGGAGATGCTAGTGGACATATCAGAAAAAAAGAGAAAATTAGGATTCTCATGTATTTCATGAAAATGAGAGATGTAGTCTTGAACTACCATAGGAACAAAGAAGCCCAGCTACATTCATGGAATAATAATGTTCTTGAGTTTTGAGCAACTGAGAGCTTTCCAGGAACAAATTTTACTTAGCAAGTTTACTTGCTAAGCAAGATCAATAGAGACAGGAATTACTTTAAAAGCTGTGTTTTTTCACAAAACTCCCATGAAGAAATCAGATTCTTTAACATCACTTACAGGATTTTTCACAAAAATAAAAATTTTCTCAAATTTGAAGTGACTTCCAATGTTTTAAACAAGAATTCAGATTACTCTTTTGCTTGGCAGTTGAGTCCTGGATCATGCAGATATTCATGTTTCAGGCTTTGAATCTATACTCTGTGACAAGACATAACTGCACCTAGACAAAATTAGATCTCCTTGAACATTCTGAAGTGGAAGGGAAACTCTCCATGACTCTGGAAAGCCTCTGGAAGAAATTCAGTATTACATGAGGTTACTCATGGTGAGAGGATAGCTCTGGTCATAGTTGATATGTGCACCATTTCCCAGCAGATAAGTAAAAAAAAATAAAATTTACATAGGCACCAATTAATACCCTGCATTGCAGAATCTTGTCCACAAGCATCTTCTCCAGACTGGGGATTTCAAAGCCAGTGTTTTGGGAACTGCATGGGTTTGTTAGCAGGACAGTAGGGAATGGCATGAGCATAGCCCATGGCTTTCCATGTAATGGAATACCAAAGACTTGGAGCCCTGTCTGCAATTCCTTCCTCAAGTGAAAATCATGTGAGAGCCTCTGTTCTCTGAGGGCTTATTCTTTACTTGGCTCAATCCACACTAAACCAATCTGAGAAGGGAAAGGAGCAAACACATTGCTGTTTCCTCACCTGCAGGTGTGTCTTTGCTATGGAAGCTTCAGGAAAGGGCACACCTTAGAGTAGCCTTTCCACATGCAGAAAATATTCAAGAGATGAGATTATACTACAATACTAGAGTAAAGGGGGTCTGTTTCTTAGGGGTAGGCAAGCATTATTTCCAGCCCTTCTCTCTTTAGGGATAACAATATCTACCAAAGAAGAGGATCAGGTTGCTTGGATTGTGTTTGATCAAGAAAAGGAATGGGTGGTCAGCCCTGAACTCTTCAAACTCAGAGGAATATTGGATGTCTTCTGTGCTATCTGCTGAGCCAGTGTCCTCCTCAGTGCCCTCTTCAGTGATTTCCATGTATGCTTCATGGATGGCCTCAGATACCCTCAAGCTCTCTGCTGAAGAGATGCCAGAGAGGTTGGCAGAGGGGCTGAACAGGTCAGTCATACCCAAGGATGTCAGGACAGATGTGAGGTTATATTTCTCCTCAATCTTCATGCGTGGGAGGTACACTTTTACTCTCTTCTTTTCCATCACCTTGGAACTGGTCCACTTGGCAAGTTTTTCAAAGCTGATTTTGTTCTCAAGCTGCAAAGAGAGGCAGGGAATGAAACACGTGGGATGCAAATCCAACTTCTTCCTACCATTCATTTCTGTCAAGGCTATCATAAAAGTAAAACCCCAACCAGAATGGTTCCTGAAGCTCGTCCTATTGGCATCTTTCTGCTATTTTATTAATTGCCTCTCCAGTACTGCCTGTGTCACTCTCCTTTTATTCAGATTTTTACCAACTTAACACATCCCCCTTTGTCCAAGTAATCTTGTGTCTCATGAGGCACAACCCAACAGTTTCACAGCCTAGAAAATTAGTCAGCATGTGAAAGACTGCAAAAACAAGACCATGAAAATTTACCTACAATTGTAGCACTTAACAAATGCAAACTCTACTACATCTGTAATAACTCTATTTTATAATTTAAAAATATTACTGAAATATGAGTCATTGTTCATATATTTTATACTGCATTGATTTTTCTCCTTTCTTGAGTACAGATGGGTAATTTTATAACATTCCTTATATATACATCTTCTGCAGGGCTGCAGCAACACTACACTGCTTTACCTTCATTTACCTTAGGACCCTCCTAAGAGGCTCTGCCTCAGCACCTGGCAGATTTTGTGCTCCCCTCCCAGCCCAGCACACAGCCATGGGGTGGGCAGCTGGGATGTCAAAGGGCAGCAAAAGGTCTGACAGCAGCCAAGCCTCACTAAAGTCACAGCCCTTCTACTCGCCCTGCCAGGGCCATACCTGTGCCAGGCCAGAGATGTCATCAGGCAGCAGCACCAACAGGCTCAGCTCTCCACTGGTGTATGGAAGCTCCAGGACCTTGATTTTATCTTCAGCCACTCTTCCCACTCTGAAGGTGCTGTTCTGATACATCATTTGCACAGGTCTGCTCTCTTGCTGCAAAAACAAAAATGTGAGATGATGCAATGTGGGAGCAATCTTTTTCTTTGGTCAGACAAATGTACAAGGCCTTTGAAAGGACAGGACTCAATCTTCAACCATGCTGCCTTTGGAAAAGAGCTGTGTCTCCATTTTTGTCTCATCTGCTGGTTTGTTCTGTCAGACACAGCTGTCATAAATCTGACAGTGAGGCCCCAGGTAAATCACCCAGCCAATGACAACAAAACTGTAAATATAACAAATACACATCTCGCCAGAAAGTGTGTCTGTGCCTCCCACCTCAGTCACATTGAAGGGCACTTCCTCAGTGTGTTCTTCTTTAAATGGGGTCTTCCATTTCCCTTTGAAGTAAATGGCATTTACAAGGATCAGCACAGTCTGAGGATTAACAGAGCTTGGTTCAAGGAAATCCTGGATCTGTCCTTTAAGAAAAAAGTAGGGCACAGAGTAGTAAGTTTCATAGCAATAGTTTTAGAAGTCAGTCAATATACTGCTCCTTCACTTGACTTTTCCTTCTCAAAAAGTCTGCACATTGAATTAAGTTTCATGAGGATGATTTAATAATACACTGAAAGACTGGCAACTGGCCAGACATTTCTGCAAGAAGACAGGTAGGTTCAAGAGTGTTATAGAGTCCCAGGAACATTTCTAACCAGCATTTGGGAAAAAATAAATATTTATATAGAAAATAAGGAAAGGGAGAGGGAAGAACCAACACAGATTTTCTCAGTATGTTTTTTTCTCACAATCCACTCTAAGTTTTTCCTCCCACATCAACACAATAAATGCACACAAGCTTCTGAATCATTTATTTCCCATCATAAGTTTAGTATGCATTACTTTCTCCCCTGGAAGCCCACTTACCTATCCAGCACATCCTTGTAAAAAATTTGCCAATATTCTAGAGAAGCTGGGAGAAACCTTGCATGAGTTAATCTCTCCAGGTACAAAAAGAGTGCATATAAAATGTGCATATTAAGTGTGCATATCATGGCACCTCTGCCTTTGCCAGATGTATTTAAAACACACTGTCACTGCCACACAGATGCAATAGAGTCATCCCTTTCCACAGAAAATATCCACAAATGGGGACAGGAAGAGGAAATTTCTCCTCTAATGTTTAGTCCTTTCAGAAATTGCTAAAATACAGTTGTCAGAGAGAAGTATATTTCATAGTCTTGTCAGACTTACCATTTGTCTGATTTTTCACCCAGGAATTAATGCGCTGTCTGGCTTGATTTGATGCTGTTTTGAAGTTGACCATTTCTAGACCAGATCTGTACAGCTTCTTCACACATTTTAAATAAATCTGTAAAGACACCAATTAATTGTAGCCAGTGAACTAGTAATTTTTTAGAAACAATATAAAAGTGAAATAAAAAATGAGTAATAAGATTTTTATAGTGATATCATGGTTAAGGTGTTCTCATTGCTTACTTCCTGAAAGGATTTGCTAAAACTGGACCAGAAAAATTATTTTGTGGCAATGAAAATTTTATGACAATTTCACATCTGACATCTTTACTATGTAACCAGTTAAGAACATATATTAAAAATATTTAAGAATTTCTGGAAGAAAGTCTGATCCAAACCCCCTGGTTTTAGGTTCATTATAGAGTGTTTTGTCATCTTTAGGTTCACTTCCTTTTTTCAAAGCATTTTCCTTATTTTTAAAGATAAGAAGTCCCCTTCATTTAGAATATTTGTATCTTTTGCTTTGGAAATATGAAAGAAAGATTTTGACACTTTCAAAATTTGGTTTTGAGGTGAGTTTTCAAGTGAAGAAATATGCCAAAGTCAAATTATTTTCTGAGAAAAACTCCAACAACCAGTTAAAATGAAATGCTTTGTGGGAGCAAGTGGAGAGCAAGGAGTTACATTACTAATAATTATGTTTATTACTCCATTCATTTTTTTAATAGGGCCATATTTTTGCCTCAAATTGTTTTCCATTTTAGACTGCTGCCAGGGCCATGGCAAAGGAAAAAAACATGTAAATCCACACCAGTAGGGACTATTGGATAAACTGGTCACCTACTCTGGCCAGTCCTCCCGGATTAGAGAATTTTACAGGGTTTAGCAAGAGATCACTTACTGGTAGGATCTGACTTGTCTTTTCAGCATAGAGTCTGTTGGCAATGTGCAGTGAATAATTGGCTTCTGGTGCAGTGATATCAGAGAGAATTTCTTTAAACAGTAGGTGGATATTCACAGACTTGCCACACTGAGTTGTTGATAAGGAGACAGAAAAGTACATTTGTTAGGTTATTTTATGAGAAAGAGGATTATTTCTAAGGTACAAATAACATGGGAAAACACACAGTGTTTGAACATTTGCAAATGAACATGTAATAGAATCTAAGAGTTCCATGGGAGGGATGTTTAGTATAAGCAGCTAATGATATATAATTCATTCACAGCCTATTATGCCACTCATTCTAGAGGTTAATTATTGAAATTGGTGACTTTTCATAGGTACAAATCCTCTAAATCCCAGGCACTCCTTGCATTTTCATGGCATTTTTTTTGCAGAAGCTGCAGATGGAAGAAGAGAGCTAGATGGCAAGGGAGTCAGGAAGTGTTTTGTTATACAGTGAAAAAATGAATCACCTCTAGTTCCAGGAATGGTGACACAGGCTAAAAGCATGTAAGAAAACTGCACAATGATAAACAGTAGGTGGGACTGTATTTTTTGAGAATAATTGTGTTGAACAGCTCCTTTCTAAATGCTTACTGAGTCCCTAAATGCCCTAGCTTTAGATACTGCCTTTGGTTTAAAAAAAAAAAAGGTCTCATCTTTTTCTAAGTTCCACCTTGTGTTATGGATCCCAAGTAAATGGGGATACACCAGGCTCTGTGGCTTTTGTCATCTTTACAGAGGGAGCAGATTAACATGGCCAGAAGCATAAGAAGCATACAGGTATCAAGCAAGGTACTGGGACCCCTCATGGTTCTCTTGGGATAGCAGTGGGAATTGGAGGCTGGAAAAGTCCCTGTAGCTTTGTAAGAGTGTGGTTACTTTCCATCCTTTGGGGATTCTGGGCTCTTTTCTGCTGTCCCGCTTTGGACTCTCAGCTGCAAGTCTGCCTACTGTACCCTGGCTTCAGGTACTGAGACCCTTTCAAGGGCTGTAGGCCAGCAGTACTTGGAGGTGTGGAGTCCTTTTACACCAAAGTGTATCCTGGTGCCCAAAGCATCCTATCCTGTCCTGTCACTTGCAATATGTGCAGCCTGTCTTCTTTTTCTGGTGGTGTTTTGGGGTTTGTTTTTGTTCATTTTGGGTGGTTTTTGTTTGTTTGTTTTCATTGGTGGTTGTTTGCTTGGCATTTATTTTGTTGCTGTTGTTCTTTGGGCTTTGGTGGTTTGCTGTATTTTTTTTTAACTTACATCTCTTAAATTAGGAGAATTAGCAAAGGTTTGGCAAGGTGTTGAAACTACTAAAAGCACAATCAGAACAGTCTATTCACAGGAAAAGGATGTGAAAGAGAAATCAATGTACCTTAGGTTTCTGTACCCTGGTCTGGGTACTTCCAAGTCCTGCAATTTTGTCAAAGTGAAGAACCTGCAATTGAAAGTAGAAATTAGGTATATGAAGTCCACTGTCAGTCACTGATATTTGTGCTAAGTAGGTTTTCACTAACTGAGTCTGATTAGCACAAGGATGAGCTGAGAAATTTCATGTGAGCTTTAAACCAGGCACTGAACTGAGAATTTGTGATTGTGATCTTCAGCTTAGATCCTGTCTTTTCCAGTTAATGGCATTGTCCATAAATCATCTACAGCCTTACAGCATTGTATTTATAACGATGAATCTTGTTTTCCAAATGTTTCATCTTTTGTGTTTCAAGTTGTCCTTTCCACCTGGAAGGAATCAGGTGTCTGAGATAGTATAAGCTGAAGCAAGAGACCTGCCTTAACCATCCTCCAAAACTGCTTTCTTAATGAAAACCAAAGGTTGTTCTTTCCCTTCATTGGGGAAATGCAATAACTGAAAAACTCCAGAGTTTGGAAAGCCATTTTTTTACTAGGCGGGTTTGGAAGGTATAAATGGATACTCTGCTGCCTCTTTGAATGGATCAAAGAGAGTTTGTACCCATTTATGTAACTTACCTTCTCCATCTGATACTCAGTGTTATTTCTTGCTCCCAGATAGACCATGGCCAAGGCTGCAATCATGCTCAGGGGGCAATAAAAGATGTTGTCATTGGGTTGGTGAAGTTTCACCTCTTTGAATACATCAAAACAAAATTCTGCATTTGCTGCACTGATGGAGCCCATTGTGATATCAGTGTTTCCTAAAGCAAACAGAAACATCACTTTATGGTCACAAGATGTAGTGCTTGTTTTAAAGATCATTGCCAATAGCCCAGAAACTGCCAGTTCATTGCTGGTTTTGTGATGCTGAACCAGTGAATGATGTGAAGCCTACAAATTCTGTGATCATTAGAAATATTGTAACTCCCAATCCATTCACATACGAACACCTTTGTTTTCTTTCAACAAGATCCTCTCAGCAAGACAGTACCTTGTACTTGCCTTTTAGGAAATAGCAAATTTCATCCACCCTTCTATATGATAAATATAACATTGAATGAGTTTCCCTGTGACCATTCAGAGGGCTCTGAATGGTGTTTGAGACAATGCAAACATAATATTTCATTTCTTCTGGGGCTGTTCTCGATCTTTAAATCAAATTTAATCACTCAATACACTTTTAGTGTACTTCTCACTGTTGCTTAGTACAACCAGCCATAAATTTGGAGATTGCTTTTCTGCAGTTTATAGCAATAATATGAGCTGTAAGACAGCTGCTTGTATGCTGACAAATAAATTTAGGGTTCTCCTGTGGTCCTGTTTCAGACATTTAATCGCTGCTGGTGCCTTTTAGCACAATCATATATATATATGTATCTACACATATATAAATATATATATAAAATATATGGGTTTTGTCAGGGAGTGAGATTGAGAAAAGAGAAATACCTTTATTCTTAATTATTAGAATTATAAATGGATAGTTTTAATGTGACAACAGGTTTTAAATTAAAAAGAACTTTTTCTATTCAATGCTGTGGTGCACAAGCCACATATTTTGCACACAGAAAAGTATTTGACAGTCAAACAGTATAAGATATAATGAGAAGGCAAGGCAAAATTACTGTATATGCTCTCTTTTTACGTACCTGTCTTATACTTACCTTAAGGTTCTTAAACATATTTTTTTTTCATCCTAAAGAATACAAATTAGAAATTACATTTTCTTGGAGAAATACTTACCCCACAAAGTTCAAAGAAGCATGTAATAATCCAGCTTGCCCAGCTGAAGCTAAACAGCTCTCTGAGCTCTTGGTGATATATAGAGCACAATTTTGAGACACTCCCACTGTTGCCTTCAAGGAGTCATCTTCAAACACTGCCTTTTGTCATGATTCATTGCACCTTGAAACATTGAGCAGGCCTAGGTAAAGCTGGTATTCTATCTGCAGCCAGTCAACTTTATTTATTAAATAAAACCTGATTTAAAACTGAATTATTTAAGCTTTTGCTGTAACCTGCTCTTCTCCTCAGAGGTAAGGCACTCTCAGTGTCAAAAGCACTCTAACACAGCACTCCCACCAGTCATGAAGGGAAAGGTGGATGCTGGGCTAACTGCTGAAGGTCTGGTAGACATGCACCAGCTCTCTACAACATCTGTGCAGTGGAACAGAGGGAAGTTCCTCCAGAACAGTGGCCATCTGACATTGCCAAAATAATGTAATCCCAAGTAAAGCCAGCTGCTGGATGGTAATTCTATTGAGAGGGGTTTGAAATTGATTTTTTTTTCCATGTTTGAACAAACTTAAAACTTTCTGTTTAGTTTTCAAGACTGAAAGGTTTTTGGTCTGACATATTGCAGAAATATATTCCTGGAGTGCAGACTGATGTGGTGTATGGCTTGTACTTGTTCAAAACACAGCCACATCAATTTCTCTGCCTAGGTGAGGCTACAGTATTTTACCTGAGGCCAAACTGTGAGGGTCTACAGCATAGGTGTGCAGGAAGAGGGGAGAAAGGCTATGAGGAGAAAGCACATTTTGCTAAAACCTCATTTTGATGAAAACATTTAGAGCAACAATGATGAGATGACTTAAGGGCCTGAAGATGGGCATGGAAGAGGAAAAGATTTGAGGAATGGTCAGGAATTACATATACCTGGGCTGTAAGCCTGACCCCAGAGTATTCAGATATTCAGAAATTTATTTAAACTAGCCAGTGGTATTTAAAGAATGACTAAGAGTCAGCTTTTAATTTTCATTCTGTGCAGGTCATGGCAACAAGGCCCATGGTGCTTGCACAGGCCATTCCCATAGATCTTCCATACCTTGTAACTATGGCAGGTGAATAAACTACAGGATCTGTCAGCAGGAACATTCATGGTCTGTCACACAACCATAATGCACAATATAAAATATAATTCAATTGTAACAGGCTATTACTCTTTATTAAATAATGGACTTGATGAGCAGTAAAGAAACAAATCTGGCATCTGCAAAGGCCGTAGGGGTGGATAATAGAAACCCAAATTTGTGTATGTTAAGTCACAGGGCATACAGCATTAAGTGCACCCTCTGTGAAAAGGAAAGGGAACTGCTTTATCCTTAACAGTGTTCTTTACCTTGCTGAAATGCAGGGATGTATGTGCAGAGCCTGATAATTGGAGTGGGTTTTAGTTTCCCCATTCAGAATGAGGATATTATAGCAGCAATGAGGATGGGAAAATCTGAAGATAAGAAGGAGCTTTCCTCTGATGCTAGCATAAACAAGGAGACGAAGGAGCTGGGAAAGCAGCTCTTTCCAATGTTTCTCTGTTCTTATTTTCACATGCAATTTCTTCTGGTTGCTCAGGAACTACTGAACAGTATTTGAGGGTAATGTTTGCTTGTGCTTTCGGATGGCCTGTCTTTCTGTATGACACATACTGTGTCCACTGTACTGTACCTGAGTGCCTTTCTGACTGAGACCATAAGGAACCAGGACTTCCTACTAGAAAACCAGTTGAAGACACAATAAAATTATGCTATACATCATACTAAGAAACCGTTTAAAGGAAAGCACAGTTTCAGAGAAAACTGAGGAGAACTGCAACCATCAGAGAGAATAAAGTTCAGTGGAAATGTGAATATGTAAGGAGTTACTCGGTAATCAGACTGTGGGAAGCCACAGATCTTTCTATTGTGGGACAAACATGTGTTACCTTTCCATGGATCCTCATGCAAATACTATTATACATCTTTTGCTTGGCTTTTTGCCAGTCTACAATTTTGTAGGCTGTCATGTGTGCTGGTGTGGGTCAACACTTGGCATGGAGCATGTCCTCCCTGGGGAGGAGGCAGTGGAATGCCCTTCAGGGCTATGTCTGCTCCAGGCACCATTTGGAGTTTCCAGCTTTTCTCTGTTCTGCGACCTCTATTGCTTGGCATTGAACTTTTACAAACTACAGTTTCCCACAGGAGAAGCATTTGCTGCCAGAGTGGAGGGTTTACCTTCTATTTTTAAGTAAACATCCATGATTTTGTGGGAGCACTGCCCTCCACAGTAGGAGCTGCTGCCACTACACTAGTAGCAGGAGACTACTTTCCAGCTTCTGGTGTTTTTCACCACATTTTTTTTTCATGTTTTGTAGATTAAAATGGCAATGAAGAAAAAAGATTGCATAAGGAGAAGAAAAGGGATTTTTAAATTATAATTTATACTGTATTTTGTTGCAGGTTCTGAATTATCTAGATATCCCTGAAGTAAGTTTTTGGTTTGGGGTTTTTTAATTACAATACAAAGTTACTTCTGATGTAGTAAACTGACATCCTTGTTTCAGCCACACCTTCTCCTTTGGTCACATACAAAATTCCTGTTGTAAGACTTGTGCTTTTTGGGATAATATGTTAAAGCACTTGCCTTTATCACTTTAATGCTTTTTCTTTTACATTTTATCTCAAAACATATAGGCCTGATTGTGCAAGCTAATATATTTTAATACTGTTCATTTCCCTTTTTTTCTTTTAACCTAAGTAATTTTAATTTGAGACAAACAAGATATACACAGAATTCCAATGGCAGTTATTGAAAAACATATATAGCTGTTTTTTGAATACTTTATTTATCAAAGAGCTAACAGCCTGTGTTTTGTGTTCTCTTACCAGCTAATTGGTATGAAAACTGTGTCTCTACAGGTAATTTTACTATTTCAGGCTGTATTTCAAACTGCAATTGCAGCCATATGAAGTATTTCCACACTATAATGGGTCTGCTTTATTCAGCATTTCAATTTGTGTCGAGTACTGTAATTTACTGTAATTTTTCCTGCATATCTCAGCATTTGGAAGAGCCCTTTGAATCATCAGTTCTACAATGGTACCAGTATGCTCCCAGTGTTTACCTTCTTCCCATCAGTGAGTAACAGGGGAAGGAGAAGTGAGTCATCAAAGGCTGGAATATTTTTCCCATAAAAGCAAGTATTCTTCATGTGTCTGTGGATTTTGGACATTACCTTCTGCCAGACTGGGCAGGCTACTCCCTTTGCCAGACCCTGTGCTATTGCTTCCCACCACCAACTCCACAACATCCAGGAGGTGGTTTAGGGAACTAGATCATAAGCAAGAAAATTAGCTTTACCAGAAATTTTCCTCTTGATTTGCTTCCCAGAGAACTGCTGACCCCCAAGTCAGGCAACTAATAGTGGTCATGTAAAAGAAGGAGAAGGTTCAGAGTTTATGTACCCTAATGTTGAATTGTCCTGTGCCTAAACTCAGCATCGGGAATATTTAAAAGTGGGAGTTAGACTTCAGTGTCATTTACATTTTTGGAAAGGATTACCATTATTTTTACTTACTATATTAGACTATTCCTCTGTTTACTTAATACTGCAGATTACAACATTTACTATTGCATTTGCAGTGGGTTTATCATGATAAATAGTAGTAATAATAATAAATAATAAACACAGACTACCCATTTAAAAACCATCAAATTTTTTTTATGTTAATGATTTACAAAATAGCCGGAACAAGAAACTCATGCTACCTGAGGCCCAAACAGAGCTGGTTCTTAAAAGTGAGAAGGGCTGATCACTACTCAAAGTTTAATGTGGGAATAAATAAAGTGTCTCATTCCCAGCCATCACAGAGCAGGCCTTGTCAGAAAATTGTTCCATTATTCTGAAAGCCTGGTTTTGTTATGTGGGAGCTTATGAGGAAGTTGGAGAACTTGGTCACATATACAGGAATTTTCACCAAAAAATTAGTCTGCCCTTCTTGAAAGCAAGCAAAATTACACCAGAAAATCCTCTGTCTTCTCTGCTCTCTGAGAATAAACCCTGAGAGCTCCAATTTGAAACACTGCCCCCAGTCAGTATTTAATAGGAGGCTTCAGGGGAATATCGTGATGCTCCCCTATAAAGTGGTATTTTCCTTGAGACCTTAGGTAGGTAAGGCTAAAAGAGACCAAGTACCCGAGGTTATGCTTTTAATGCAGATCCCTATCCTCCTCTCTACTTCATGTGAGAAAAGGCATCACTTATCTTCAGGGCACTAAACTCATGTGTTTGTTGGATCCCTACTGCATTAGGAAAAGCTCGAAGTAAAATTTTCTTTGCAAATATCTCTAGAGGACTACAGCTTTTTGGCAAATACCTCATAGTGTATTTTAAGGTAGATGTCATTTTCATGAGGCCTCCTAAAAGTAAAATATGCCTAAGATTCATGGGGTTTAGGGTTTTATCTTTAATTTGAGTCTTCTCAGATAGTCTTTTTATTTACAGCAAACCAGACTTTAGGATAAAGTCTAGAAAAATGTCTTTTGTTTGTCTTTTATCCTTATTGCTTGCCAGTTGGGATATAAGTGGGGAGAATGATCTAATTTCCAATATAATCTCCACTTAAGGAGAGGAATATCTTCCAAAGAAGAGAATGGTGTTGGTTTGGTTGTGTCTGATGAAGAAGAGGAATGGACGGTCAGCTCTGAACTCAGAAGTTTCTGGGCAGCATAGAGGCATTGCAAGGAGCCCCATGGAACAACCTGCCTCAGTGCCCTCTTCATTGACTTCCACAATTGTCTTCTGGATGGCCTTGGACACAACCAAGCCACCTTTCATAGAGATTCCCGACAAATCAGCTTTTCCCCAGTCAAAAACATTCAGTACTCCCATCTCCTGGAGAGTGTTGTTGAGAACATAACTTTCCTCCATCTTGAACTGGGGCAGGTACACCTTCACTCTCAGTGGTTGCATCGTAGACGAGCTGGTCCATTCTGCCAGTTTTTCATAGGTGAGGGCGCATTCAAGCTGTAAGGTGGTATTGGGAGCAATGAGTGGCACCATAATCAATGCTAGGAAAGGAAGTTCAGTTTTTCCCACTTGTCTTCTGACCACACTGGAGCAATGCTAAAGCATTGCTCTCTATATATGTCACTAGAGAGAAAATGAAGTCTTACCTGTTCTAGGCCAGTAAAGTCCTCACAGTCATTTTCAGGAAGAAGAATGAACATGCTCAGTTCATTATTGAAGTATTGGAGCTCTAGGACTTTTGTTTTCAGTTCCTCTATGATGGCCATGTTAAAATATCCTTCTTGAAACATCATCTGCACTTTCCTTCTCTCGTTCTGGAACACATGAAACATATTAAATGGAAAATACAGAAAGTATCACCCTGGTTTTAATTGGTTTCAGCCCTGAGCTAAGAGTTCAGCTCAAAAGCATTATTTAAACTGGTCACAGCTTTAATATACTTGTAGCATTGATATGTTCTTCTCAAATGTAGTCCCAATGAAGTTATCCATTTTAGAAGCATAAAAACTACATTTCCCTTTCTAATGGTGCCAAATTACTTTACTCACAACTTCCTCATTACATCTTTTTTTCTGCTGTGTCAGATGAGGAAACTGATACATCTTATGCAACCATAAATTAAATTCTTCATGAATAATGTATACATTCCCCTGAGATAATTTGTCTTTAATACTCTTTCCCTGAAAGCACACACTGTTCTGTTCATAAATAGTAGCAGAGAAGCAGAATCCTCTCTTTCAATCTCAAGAGCTGACTATTTTTGAAATAGCACCCTTAGTTGCAAAATCCCCAACAACGTTAGTGCATGTGCTTAGTGGAACTGGTCCAACAAGGATCTCAACTGCACAAGAACTTCTGATGTGAATTGGTTCAAACATTTACATATTTGGTTAGGAAAACAGATAAATACAGTCTTCTGTTGTTCTCACTTAAGGCCACTGTTTTGTCTAGGGATAACAGAGAGGAGAAAAGCCCCCATCTGTTATTACAGGAGACAGACATCTGACCTCCATCCACCAGCAGCTTCAGTTCCTGCCCATACTGTACCTTGTTCAGGTGGAAATATGCTTCCTTAGTGTCTTCTTTCTTAAATTCTACTGCCCATTTTCCTTTAAAATATATAGCGTTGACCAGGACAAGTACAGTAGAGGGATCAATAAAACCAGCAGCAAAAAGTTCTTTGATTTTACCTTTAAAAATAAGGAATTAAGACAAATTATTACTTTGATCTGGTAAGCTTTGACTATTCATAGTTATTTCTTTTAAATTGGCAAGTGGTATAATGCTGTCAGAGAAATGACAAATATTTATGTACAGCTTTGGAGCCAAGGAACTCAAGGCAGTTTTGTTCCACTTACTACATTTATTTCCTATTGAAAAGAAAAAAATAATGCAGATGTTTAATATTTAAAAATCTTGCTATCTTTGGAAAAAATTCATAGGTGGTTGAATTGCAAACCAAAAAACCTGAACATTTTTTCTTTACCTTTTGTTTCATTTTCAACCCAGAAGTTAATTTTGTCTCTGACTTCTTCTTCAGTGTATTTAAAATTTACTGGTTCCAGTTCTGCTCGATAGAATTTCTTTGTGGAATCCAAGTATTGCTGGAAAGTACAAATTGCAGAAGTTTATTGCAATGGGATCATTTTTATAAGATAGATAATTTCATGGCTTCAGGATAGTTCCATGTAGTAGATCAGCAAGAAAGAAATTGGTAAAAAAGGCATGTGTCCCTTTGTGCTTCATGATGGAAAACATTCTGCTGAGCTCCCCGCACCTAGGAGCTGTTACAAGGGAGACCACAGTCCCTTACCTGAAAGAATGGGTAAGTAATTTCTCCAAAGAGCCTGTTGGCAATGGTGAGACAACAGCCTGGTCCAGGTTCACTGACTTCAGCCAACAGGGCCTGGAACTGGGAATGGACTCCTTCATCTTCTTCACACTTAAACAGGAAAACAGATGTTTTATGGTAAGCTTGAGCTCTCCTATGCAAAGTTGGACCTGAGGGTGAATTGCAGCCTCTCTTTGCATGAGAAACTCTACTCCACCCAGCTGACTCAGGCACTGGAATAAATGCACCAGGACACCACCTCCTATTCCCCCTGTGCCACACATACAGAATGACAAAACAGGTCCCCTTCTGGCTCCTCACCTCCAAACCACGCTGTGCCCTACACTGATGTCTCTGTGCACACTAAGCAAAAGGCTGCTGGCTTAGAGACTGGGAGAAGCAAGCTCCAAGGTGCCTTTGGCATGCTCTCTAGGCAAACCTTTGCAGGTGGCAATTGAAGCATTTATCACATTTTAGATTGGCACTGCTGTTTTGGTTAGAAACCCATAATGAGAAGGCTCAGCTGTTGAAATGTGTGATCTCACAAGGCCCCTTAAATAACTAATAAAGAAACAGTAATAAGCAGGTCAGCAAATCTAGATGGAGAGGCTGATCAGCCCTGCTGTGCATTCTGATTAAGTGATTGTCTTCAAGGGAAAAGGCTGACAAACTGGCTCCAGTTGGTTCAGCTCAGAGCTGCAATTGTGTCTTACCTGCTCAGAAGGGTATCTGTTTTCCTGTCTCGTACTGCTCAAAACTTCTCTGAAATGAAAGACCTGCAATGTAAATGTTGGGTGAATGCAGGTGAGTGAAGGTACTTCAAAGCTAAAGCAGTGTTGCAAGCCTATCTCAAAACACAGCCAGACTCAGGCCCTGCGTAAAGGCCTCTTTGCTCTTTACCATAAAATCCTTGCAAGTGAATAAATAGTTTTAGGAGATGGTGAGTGCATGAAATCTTTGAAATCTTTCTACGTGAGCAAGGAGGCTTTGGGTGTCCAGAGAAGGCAAAAAACCACATTAAAGGTAGGGAACTCTTCTGAGCTCTGAGAGTGCAGGGATACCTCCAAAATGCTTTCTTTAGCACTGATGTATTCATTGAACAGTCAATTCAATAATAATGTGTAGTATAAAGAAGTTTGGTATTAGGAACTGCATAATGTATTTTTAAAAGGGCTTTCTGTGTGCATCAGCTCTTTGGATGTGGATGTTTAGGAACTCTATCAGATGGTACAATCAAGCCTCTGCCAGAACAAAGCCCTACCTTCTCAATCTGCTCGAGTGTGCTGCCCCTGGCTCCGAGGACAACCATTCCAAAGGCAGCTGACAGACTTATTGGGGAGAAAAAGATGTTTTCATTTCTTTTTCTTTTGTTCAGCTCTCTGAAAAAGTCAAGACAGAACTTGGCATTGGCTGCACTGAGAGAGCACATTGTGGCACTGTGATCACCTGAAACAAGGGTAAAAACAACTTAGGTTTCTCATCTTTACACCTGCTATGTTTAAATGCCCTGGTAAGGTTTTTTGCAATAGCTTGGCTGAATTATTCAGTACTTTATGGAAATCCCCTGTTCATTACATTTGGGATTTCACAGTGAATCTGAAAACCAGCACCCTTAATAGCAGAAGAAACACATTTACAGAAATAGTATTCTGAGTTGAGCTGCTTCTCCAGCTCAAGTAATAGCTATGGCTTTGCCACTTAGCCCTAACTTTGTCCTAACCAAATTTCCAGCTCAATTTATATCCTAATCTTTGTGCCTTCAGTCCTCTAGGCATAGTACTTATTAATTACACCCTTGATCATATCTGACTCTTTGTTTCTCTCTAAAAACTTTATATGTATTACTCAGCTGTGCCTCACATACATGTCCTTCTAAGGCTGGTTGCTTAACAAATGTTTGGCAGAAGACACAGGCTCACATAGTAAGATTTTGAGCAGAAACACATTGTGCATAAGTAGAAAATTCCAGACATGTTTTTTTATCTGAAGCTTAAACTCTTTTTCCTGTGGCTTGAACTCTTTTTCCCAGATAACCTTCAGTTACAATCACAATTATTACAAGCAGATCATCTTGAATGTTCTGCAAAACTCTTCATATCTTAGACCTAGAACAGAGTTTCTTTCTCATTAAAGACTTAAAGATTAAAGATGTAGTGCCTGCATCCATGAAGTGTTGTAGAAACATCTGATCATAAGTTCAGTCTTTTAGAAGTTCCACTATTCTAAGTCACATTTGATTGGATTCTTACCGAGTCTGAATAATTTCCTCCACACATGTAGTAAGCATATTTCCCCTATTAAACAAGAAGAATTAAATTATCCATATAAACATTTGAAAGATAGAGCACTATAGAAAGACTATGCTCCTATAAGGGTCATGCAGAAGAAGTGGCAAATGATTTTAATCTTCTTTAGAAGCACACTTGGAAAGCAGAAGTTTAGAAGTACCACTGTACAAGTTAAGCACAGATTCATTACACAGCCCATACATTTTAATGTAATCCAAAACATTGTCACTTCCCCAAAATATGTCACACGCGGTATATATGTGCAAAGGAGGTATATTACTAATGCACATATTGATCCTTAGATCCTAGTTCTGTCATTTAGTATTAAAGATCATTGAGATATTTACCTTCTCCTCGGTACTGATGATGTCAACTGGACACTCGAGCTTCTTGACAGAGCTTCTGGAGCAATGGGATATAAAACCATTGCCACTCCCAGTGGCAGCATAAATTTCACTCATGATGAATCACATTCCTGTCTGTTGCAACCAGTTAGTATAATTAGGGGATCTGTGGTGGAATCTTGAATTTTTCTATATCCCTAGGAGTTCAGAAAGAAGTCACAGTTTTAAATGCATAAGATGTAAAAAAAAAAAATCTAAGTAGTAATAAAAAAAGAAAGCAAACTCCTAAAAACAAAGGCAATTTCAGAGTGGTTTTTCACCTGTAAAAAAAAAAAATTCTAAGAATTTTGTCGTGTTTTGATGTCAGAAGTGGCACCAATGAATGCAAGTCAGGTTTTGTAGCAGAAACAATCATACTGCTATAACCAGCCCACTGATTTAGTCCTAGTCTAAACTATATCTTAAGTTTAGCCCAGAACTTCCCATTACTCCTCATTTTTGTCAGCGTCTCTGAGGACACCTACCTGATCATTGTCTTACATTGCTTCAGCAAGGTGTAGGCAGCAGGGACAGAGCAACCTGCTAATAAGAAGTAGTATATTTCTGGTGTTATTTTCCTGAGAAATTAACTTTCTTCCCATTCAGGCTGATATGATGTGTGGGTGGGCAAGTATTCATATGAGTACTAACAACATTGTTTTGTAACAAGTACTTAGTTATCACTACTAAGATGTATTTACACATCAATCCAACCAGATACTGGTTCTCTGGTATTTAGGAAACTCTGAAGGCAGTTTCCTATCAGTGATAAAGTACTCATGGGGCTTAATTCCCTTTCAGTTTGAATTTTCCCATAGCTATTTCTTGGGAGGAAATAGAAATTAAAAACACACTCTTCATCCAAGCCCTGAGAACAAGAGAGTCAGACCTGCACAGATTTTGCCCGAAGCAATGAAAGCCATGCAGTCTGGTTTAACTTGCTTAACAGTGGGACAAGAAAATTTCCCACAGAAGCATCTGGCTTGCTTTCCTGGTTTCTGGCTTCTCTCCACACAGTCACCTAAAAACCCACCTGCTGAGCCTGTTCCTCAGTGCTGAGCCCTGTTTGACCATCCAGGAGCCACTCCAGCAGTTACATCTGCACCAGCCAAGCTGGGATCAAGGCCACTTCACAGCTGCATCCCCCACACCCACAGTCACACCAGATTTCCTTACCATCACAGAGCCTCAGACATCTCAATCCTTGAAATAATTTCATTATGGTGCAATAACAAAATATCAGCTTGAGCTGGTGCCTCCAAGGAGGGACCCCAAAGAAAGGACACCTTGGATAAAAGGACACCTTTTATACGCTCACAGCTTAAGTGTGGGAAAGTCCAAGGTCCTTGGCTCCTGCTGCATCTCTGAGTGTCCAGTTCCGTGGCCAGGCCACAGATCCCAGGGCCCTTTGTTCTGCACTGGGTGGGCATTTCACAGCCCCTTGCCTGGGGCTCCCACCCAGAGCCCAGCCTGCAGCTGCACCCCGAGCTACTTGCACTGAATGGATTCCCCACCACTCAGCATTGCCATCGACAGGGAGCTGCAGAGCAGAACTGGGCAGATGCTGTTCCCTTCTTGTGGTGATGGACTGTTCTCTGCAGTCTTATTTTGGGCACTAGGCACAGGAAGGAGGAAAAATGTTGTGGAATATGAGGGGATAAGTATACAGGTAGGAGCTACAAGATGTAACTATTCTAAGTCAGTGTAGCAAGGTGTCTCCCAGAACAGAAATAAGAGGGTTTTTGAACAGCAAGACACAACCAAGTATTTGTCTTTCAGGAACACTGGGAATTTTTAATCCAAATTAATACAGTGAATGGAAAATTGCAATCCTGAAGCACAATAATTCATGGCCTTTGGGCACATGGGTATGTGCTGAAAACCACAAGTACTCTTAAAATGCATTCTTCTGCGTAGGAATCTGTTAAAGCAAAGTTCAAGATATCTAATATGCTCACAGAGGGATACAGCACTCTCTTAGCCCCTGCTTAGTTTTCTAAAAATTTTAAATCACTTAGGTGAACAGGTTTCTCCAGGTTTCTTCAACATTGTTTGTTATTTCTCTGATTTTGTAGGTAGTTCTGTTCTTAATTCATTTTTAATTAATCTGAATGTTAACTATGGCTCCATTTTTCCATTTGGTGGGTATTTATTTCACACAAATAATTTTTTTGTTAGTGGACAAATTACAGACAATGGAGTTAGAGAGGCCTTTATTCCCAGAAAGGAACACTCTCTGCTGTTGTTCTAGTCTCCTGCTTTGCTATTTTGTTCTCTTCTAGGTTAGTTTAGTGTATGTTAGAGTGTGGCTTAGACAGAGATAGTTTTTTAATGGGAATGTCTGAGAAATCCAGGAACTTTTGTTCAAGCAGATTGAAGGATTTCCTGAATTGTAGGTTTTGAGGAGACTCACTATGTAAATGCTTGCTGGGAAAGGCAAAGCTACAGCTCATCCTGCTGTTAAACAGAGGGCTGGACTAGGACTTCCACTGCATTTTCCAGATCTGTGACTCCCTTCTTGCTGTTTGAATAATGCAGAGCTTCATTGCAGGCCAAAGAAAAGCTATGAGGATTGAAGATGGTCACAGTAGTCTCAGAATCAGGAGACTCTCTTTATTCCTTTCCATTGAAAACCTTGCTAAAAGGAAAGGATAAATATCAGGAGGACTTTTTCTAAAGGTTACAGAGAAGTAATTGCTGAGATGCACCATGTGGAAAGGAAGATGAAGATATAAAAGCACTGGAAGTACAAAGGCACTGACAGAATTTGTTTCAGATAGTTAAACTACTCTGTCAAGAATCCAAATTTCTGCCCTTTTAGCTAGTGGTCAGATGTTTGTCTTAGTAAAGTTGCTTTAAGGCACAGAGGAATGGATTGCAGACTGACCTGCTTTCTACGCCCAAAATTCCATACATTTACATAAGACTGCAAATAGCACTACATCTTTAGGGATAAGTTTTGCCCAGCACCATTTATCTGTTTGCAGTTATTTTGGCTGAAAGTGAAATTTTACTTCACTTTCCAGCAACATTTTTTTAATGTTTCTGATGGCCCTGGAGCCAGGACCAAGGGAATGAAGACTTCTCTGCATGATTTTTAAACCACAAAGGTGATTACATGGATGAGATAAGCATAGGAAGGCCAAAGCAAGGAACAAAGATCCAGCTTGTGATGTCAATCAGCAGAACACAACCTCACAGCAAGAAGCAATGACTCACTCTGTAAGCAGAACAGACCACCAGCATATTCCTTGTGATTATTCTTTGCTTCAAGAGAATGCAAGAAACTTGGATGTCTCCAGTTCTCCCTTGGCTTTTTCCTCACTGTTTGCAGCCATATGCTTCCCTTGCTGTCAGTGTCTGCAGGACGTAGCAGGGAAGCAGATACTTGTCGAGGAACCAGAGGCTGATCTCAAGTTTGACAGCAAAGGCTTTTCTTGCCCCTTTCATCTTACAAAATGCATGTTCTGCTACCACCCTCCTCAGGTGGTAATTACAGAGTACCTGATTTGTCTGAGGTTGCCTGTGAGTAAAGGTACCATTAGATAAGTGGAGTTGCTGAATAGCAAGAATAAAACAAGGACTCCTTTGATTTTCACTGGCCAAGAGGGTCCCCTCCCTGTTTGTCAGGCATCTGCTACAACAAATAGCAAGTCTTATACAATATATCAGAGCAATTAGGGTGATAAAGTATCTGTGGTGATCCACAGATGGCAGAAAACATATCTCTTGAAGCTGAGGAAGCTGGAGATGCTTCA